GGAACTGCGGCATGATATACGATGGAACTTATTGTTCCTATGTTGTTTTTAAGTCATGTGTTTGTTTTTGTTGATGTTTTTAGGTGTTTAAAAGAAAAATTTATAGTAATTGTAAAAAAAAAAAGGCAGGAGTTCCTGCTGTGCAGAACATGAAGGGAGCAGAAGTGGGGAGACACTCACCCCTCCCTTCCACATGGCTTTAGGGTTAGGAGGGAAGGAAGATGGGAAAGAGATGAAAGCGAGGGAAGAGGGGAGGGAGGAATGGAGGAAGGAAGGAAGGAATTGGAGGAAGATCCTCCAACGAGGGAGGGTGGGAGGGAGCAAGGAAGGAAAGAAAGAAAGAGAGGCAGAAAGGGAAGGAAGGATGATCCTGATGAGTGAGGGGAGAGGGGGAGGGAGGGAGGAAGGAATAAGGGACCCAGAAGTCTGCTCCCAGGGCAAACTGAAAATCAGGTCGGATCCTCAGAAGAGGCAGTGCACCTGTGACAGTGACATGACATGATGGCATGGAATTTTTGGGGCTTCTCCGAATGGCCACGAGGCCTGACTGGGCTTGGAATCCCCAAACATCTGGTGGGGCCCGGTGCCCTCAACCATGCCCAGCACCCCAGATGTGCCAGGAGCTCCCCATTGGCATGCCAGGTGCTCCCGGAGGGCCCCAGTGGCCTGACAAGTCCCAGCCATGGAATTGCTCACATTCCCACGTCTCCCCCCCGCCCCCCCGAAGAGGGTCTGGCTCTGGGTCTCACCTGTGACGGGCTTCATGCAGCGCAAGGTGCAGCCGAAGGAACAGCACTTGTCCGCCCCTGGGCAGTTGCCGTCGTGCAAACAGTAGCTCATGCACGGCACCAAGGCGCCACGAGGGCTCGGTGGGCAAAAGCCGGGCTTTTCTGCAAAATAGAATCAGCGCATGGGCTCCGTGAAGCGCCACTCGTGCAGCTCCATCAGAGACGGTGTGTGTGTGTGCGGGAGGGAAGGTGCAGGAAAGAGGGGAGCCTCCCCCCACCCTTACTGGCCTGGGGGATCAGCCGCACCAAAGGAGAACCAAGCAAGGGGGGGCTGCGTCTTGCAAGGGCAGACCCCCCCGCCAAGGAGCTTAGCAGGAGAGGCAGGCAGCTGGGTTGGGCCTTTTCCCGCAGGGGCTCAGGGGGCTGCCCGCCCACCCAAAGACCCCTCCCTGCCCAACAGCCGGACTCACCACTTTGTCCGCAGTAGCGCTGGCATTCCTCGATGGTGTGGTAGCGGTTGGGATTCCCGGGGCACCCGTGGTAAACGAAAGGCTCACAGCTCTTGGAGGTGGCGTTGTAGAAGAAGCGGCGCTTGGGTTCCCCGCATCGCTTGGAGTCGTTGGGGAAGGTGGTGCAGCTGCCCTCGACTGGCAAGAGAGGAGATCCGGGGAGCTCAAAATTTGGCTCAGGTGGAGGTGCTCTAGGGCAGTGTTTTTCAACCTTGGCAACTTGAAGATGTCCGGACTTCAACTCCCAGAATTCCCCAGCCAGCATTCGCTGGCTGGGGAATTCTGG